GTTAGTCAGTTCCTTGTTCCTTAGCACACTGAATTGTGCTCTTCTTACTTGCTAGATCCTCCTTCTATGTAGGAAGTTTTTTGAGGTCAAGACCTTTTCTTGTTTGTCTTCCAAGGCCTAATGCCTTGCATCATTTTTGCTGAATCAAGAGTGAGTAAGGTTTTTAAAGCTCCGATGACCAAGTAGATGGTGATGGTATTAATTGAACCACAGAGAAAAAGATTTGGTTTTTGTGTATGTTAAATTTGAGATATGTTGCATTTAGAAAACGGTCAGCATATAGTTGAAAATAGGATGAGGAAGGAAAAACATATGTCAGTGTTACTAGTATGTAGCTGATATATCAGATAATGGGAGCTGTGAGACTACACACAGAATGGGAAGAGATGACGTATAAGAAGATTGTTGCAGTAGTGACTGGTAGGCAGGAAACAAGAAAAGAAATGACACTGATAGCAGCAAATTTTCTTCCTCTTTAGTAGGATGTAATGGCCTGGAAAAGAATTTAGGGGACCAGAGATTATTTCTTTATTTGAGGGATTATTGGTGTGTATGTGTATATGTTTCTTTTTAAAAATAAAATTACTATATATATTTTTAAGAATAAGCACAATATTTTTATATATTATTTATTCCTGGCCTTTACCATATGAAAATGGTTTCTATATTCTGTATTCTAGAACATTTTAAATGTAAAACTGGCTGCAATATCAAATTATTGCAACTTATGTTTATTAAGATCAAACATTCATTATTTCCTTCAAGGGGAATAACATAATATATTTTTGCTTCTCGGGATGGGGAATGATCATTTTCATGAGAGAAGAAAGGACTCAGTGCTTTCTTTGCTTGTGGGTTTCCTCTTGTTCACTTTTGATCTAGATACTGGTGGTTATGTTCCAGTCCTCCTGCATATGCCCAAGAGGATTGGGAGTGGAGTGGACACCAGCAGAAGCACTACAGTTATTCCTGTAGAGAGTAGAAACAAGGAGCTTATTGCCCTGCTTATCAAGGCTCAGGACAGAGAGGAGGAAGAAACAAGTATAAAGGTTTTGGTTTTGAAAAGAAGTTGGAATCTCCAGACCCTGGGACCTTAAGATCCACAAAATTGCTGAAAGAAAAAGTACTACCTTATTGAAAGGTAAGATATTAAACTGTTTTAAGGTTTAAGCTATTTTAGCCACAGTAGCATATTTTCATACGCTATGAATTCAAGCAATCATTTCTGCCAAGCTGAAGTTTTTGTGACATAATTACCCATCCAGCCTTGCTGATGAGATGGAAGGAGACCTGTATAGCTGGAGAGACGTTTATAGTGAGAGAAAACCTTTACAAAATTTCAGTAATTTTTAAAATGACATTTACTGAATGCCAGGCACTGTGCTAGGCCTTGGATATACAGAGATTAATGAGTCACCCTATCTACCTTCTAGAAATGCTTATTCAAGGAAAAGAAAAAACTGATGATTACAATGTGATAAGTGCTATAATAAATAGGTACTAAATGTAATAAGGGTGGTCTAACTGTCTGAGGCAGTAACATTTATGTCCTTAGGGAGCTCATGAGGTTGGAAGAAAGAGATGGACTTTGAGTTAGAGTTATATGCTCAAAGACATAGGTATGAAAAAACATGTTATATTGGAAGAACATACCAAATTCCAGAAATTGTCTGAATATTTGCCCCGGGTAAAAGAGGGAAGAGTGTAAGAAATGTTGCTAGGTAGATAAGTTTGGGCCAGTTTTGACTTGGTTGCATGTGAGAGAAATTTTAACTTTGGCCATGGGAGCATTGAAGATTAAAAAATATTTATATGGGACTATCTTAGTTCTAAGATTCATAGGAAAAAAAATAAATGCATGGTGTTTAAAGTAAGAATGTACCTTAGCTCTCTAATTGAGTCTCAGAAAGAATGGTGGTCTTTTTATTCGGTCTTGTCTTTGCTCTACTATTCCTGGTACCCTCTTGTTCTTACTATGTTGATTCTAGACATTGTGAATTACTGAAGAGTGGGATTTTGACTTAGGCTGTTGAGAACTCCCAACTTTTACCAATTTGTGCCAACTTTGAACATCTAGAATGCATGCATGCCTCAGCCTAAAGATCATTTACTTCATTCTGGAGAGAAAGCTATAAGCACTAGTGTAAAGAATAAATAAATTGAATAAATGCTATAACAAAGAAGTGGACAACTTTCTAGTCTCTAATCATGATCCAAAAAAATAGGGTCATAAATTTATAGTGACCCCAAGGAAAAGAAAACCATGCAAAGAGAAGTCACTTGACTTTTTGCAGGAATTAGGTAGTTTGAGGAATTATTAGGGGGCTCTGAATAGACCCCACAGGCTCTGCTTGCAGTAGAAAGACCAGATACAAGTTACAGATTTTGGAGATGTGTTGGAGTATTAATTGACCATCCTGTTAAAGGAGTTCAGGACTTGGTAAAATCACTAATCTTGAAACTAGCGAGAAGATGCTGACCCTGGTAGAAGATCTAGGTGAAATGCTTGAAGAGGAATGATATCTACATTCTGTGGACTGTATGGAGTCTTAGTGGCCTTCACTAAGATGAGAGAACAAAAAAGAAAAGATAGCCGTTGGACACATGACGTCTGCATACCCGATTTCAGTGATACTCAAGACCATTCTGCGTACTTCACTTAGAAGGAATACGGGCAACCAAGGCAAAGGGCTCTGTGTAGCTTGTGATGTTAGAGGGCTATAGGATGTCAGAGGGTTGTAGGGCGCAGTGCAGCATTTAATTTCAACTATGGGTAATACAGCTGGAACAAGAAGAATTGTATTTGAAAAAAATACATTTCAGAAGACATCTGTCAAGATTGGAAGGCTGAGTTAAAGTTTTCAAAACAAAACCAGGACATTTTTATAAAATTAGTCCCAAAAATAAAAAGTGAAAGAAGAATGGAAAAATTCTCAAAGGAATATCTTGAAGTACTCAGACGTATCAAGAGACGTGGGCTTTAGTCTTCAGGACTGCCTGTGCGACCTCTGTTAAGTTTTACTCTTTCTAGGTTGGATTCTCTGGAATTTGATGATGACTTAAAGAAGGAATCATTAATTGACAGTTGAGGTGTATGGTAGTTGCTACAAGAAAATCCTTTCTGACAGAAAAGAACATACTAGAAAAGTAAATTTGAAAATAATATCAGCCTGAGCTCACTCCTCCTTTTATCTAAATGGCAGGTATCATATTGGCCCTCCATATAGTGCCATAAAATAATCTGTATATATAATCATATCTGATTAAACTCAATACTAGTTTATATGGTTTCATATACTGGTGAGAGGCTAAAAAATATTTTTAGTATAATGAATGTAGGAAAACTGTAACCGAGAATGTTCCCACTCAAAATCAAAATTCTTTTTAATGGATACAAGAAAGATTTTGTCATTAGCAAACGTATTTTAGATGTAAGAAACTGAATATTGGAGGGCTCAGAAGGAGGCCCTGAATGAGAATTCAGAGCATTCGTCTACAGTAGCAAGGCACTATGTTTAGATTTTGAATTGCCTTTAGCTAAGAATATGCAGTTTATGAGTGTGGAATAATTCATCCTAGAAAGAAATTCTCTGAGTGGGAAAAAAAAAAAGTTTTTGTAATGGTCTGTTGCATTCACATACAGAGAGTAAAGAATTGTTTTGATGTTAGTTTTTTATTTTGAAATGGGATAAGTTGAGAAATAGGTTTTCTATGGGATAAAGAGCAAATCATAACCTAGTTTAATAACTTAACCTATGTAGCTCCATAAAGCATTGGCATTTATCTCCGTTAGACATTGATTAGAATTAGGTTTTTTTGTTTTGTTTTGTTTTGTTTGAGAGACAAGGTTTTACTCTGTCTCCCAGACTGGAGTACGGTGGTACAATCATGGCTCACTGCAACCTTGAACTCCTAGACTCAAGTGATCCTCCTGCCTCAGCCTCCTGAGTATCTGAGACTATAGGTGTGAACCACTCCACCCAACTATTTTGTATTTATTTTTAATTTTATGTAGTGACAGGATCTTGCTATGTTGCCCAGGCTGGTCTTGAACTTTTGTCTTAAAGCAGTCTTCCTGCCTTGGCATCCCAAAGTGCTAGGATTCCAGGCATGAGCCACCACACCTAGCCAAAGATTTTTTTTTTTTAATTTTTTTATTTGAATATCCAGAGCAGCATTTCAGAATGCTATAATTCTTTCAATGAGTTTGTATGAGTAAAAAAGATCTATATGTTACCTCATTTATGAACTGGACTGCGACAATGTGTTATAAAGTACTACATATTTGTAACGTGTTTTTGTATAGTGTATGCCATTTGATATTCACAACAACCATGTAAAAGTAGTAAGGCATGTATTGTTATCTTTATTTATTTTGCAAAAAAGAAGAATGAAGCTCAGATAGGCTGAATATTTTGCCCAAGTTCACAAAGTTAAACTTGAATTGTTATACTGCATTGACATCTCAATGTTTCTTTGAGAGGAGCATAATTCAGTTTAGGCACAGACTGACTTCACCTACTTTGTGTGGTCTTCATTATTGCTTTCAGCTGAAAACTTTCTACACAAAGCTGGAATGTGATTGTGAATATATACAAAAGATAAATTTTTTTTTAATCAGCAGTTTTTGAGAGTAGGTGTCAACATCCTCTCAAATTTTAGGAACATGGCAACATCCTGATTAGCACCACAGTGTTAGCTTAAAGGGCTAAATGTTAACTGTAAATAAAGTTTTTGTTTTTCTAGGAGGACTAACAATACTCAAGAATTTGGAGAAATATTTTTATTATGCTTTTATACCTAATATTAAAGTTCTGGAAGCAAATTTATATATGCCTTTAAAGAATAATGGGAATTTTTTAAAATTTTTAACAATTTCTGTTTTTTTAACTCAGATTAATCTTACATGATTATAACATTCTAGATTTGACTTAACAGATGAACAATCAAGACCTTTTGATTAAATATCATATGAAATTGGATATTTTGTCATTTTACAGGATGAAGAAACACGAAAAGATTATGACTACATGCTGGATCATCCAGAAGAGTACTATAGCCATTACTACCATTACTACAGCAGGCGCTTAGCCCCTAAAGTGGATGTCAGAGTAGTGATTTTGGTCAGCGTGTGTGCTATTTCGGTATTTCAGGTGTGTATCAGTGGATATTGGATCTACGTGTACGTATGTGCATGAGTGCACATCGCCTAGTGCTAGTCATAAAAACTAAACTGCAGAAGTCTTTTTGTAAAATTGTACTTGTAGTTAGAATTAATTTATTCAGTCAACTGGCAGTACTAGAATCTTTTTCAGTGGAAAATCTAAGAAATTAATGATGAATGTCATTGTAGAACTATAAAGAATCCTTTGGAAACCCAGATCTTTTCTCATTGCTCCCTTTAGAGCATTTTCCATGTAAGTCAGAGTGATTGTCAGCAAGATAATTTATCCTTGTGGAATTTTGTAATGATTTCCCATTAAACTTGGGAAAAATCTGAACTCTCAATTTGACCTAACAAGTCTTGGCTCCCATCACCTGAAGCTGTAGGCTTGCCATCGTTGTTAACCAAAATGACCCACACTTTGCCACATGTCCCCCTAAGACATTTCTGCTTAGGTTGAAAACCACTGAGATAGATTAAAGGAGGTATAGTAACTTTTTACATTGTTTTGAAATGTCACAAAAATTTAACTTCAGCCTGAAATAAGTTTTCTCTATTATTATTCTTAAGCTAACTACTCTTATAATGTGCTCCTTTAGAGGAAATAACAAGTCAAATGACTAGAATGAAGCAATTCGCTAGTTTGAAAATTACTTCTCCATTTTAATTTCCAGAAGTGGTATTCCTGTTGATAAAAGAATTTTTATTGAAGACCAAGGTGATATATTTTAAATGTATTGCTTTTGTAAAAGTATTACCCTTTTAAAGGGGAGAGCAGGGATAATTTTACTACATAATTCTGTAGTAATTTTTTTTTTTTTTTTTTTGCTATACCTAATAGATTGCTACTGTTAACACTTCAGGATATTATTGGTATAACTGCTATATTTATTCAGTAAAACAGAATCTGGAATGCATAGAGGTACTCTGTAAAGAGCAGGACTTTTTCTGGCAATAACACCCTTTGTGGTTGAATATATTTCTGATATTTTCCTCTCCAAATATAATATTTTTGATTAAAACATCAGAATCTTTTATCAGAATAGGATGAGTGTTACTGTGATCCATGTAGGTGGTTGAGGAAAGAGATGGGAATGAATACAAGTTTCTGAGTCTGTTCCCTGTTAATTTTTAAATTTTTCACTAGCTAGTTTTTACCATTAACTCTTCATCTAGTAAGTAGGTTGCGTAAAAAAAGAAAAGAAAAGAAAGAAAAAGAGCTTTTTTTTTTTTGAGTTGTAGTCTCACTCTATTGCCTAGGCTGGAAGGCAGTGGCTCACTCACAGCCACCGCAGCCTCGATGTGCTTGGCTCAGGCCATCCTTCTGCCTCAGCCTTCCAAGTAACTGGCAAGTAACTGGAACTACAGGCATGCGCTGCCACGCCCGGCTAATTTTTCTCATTTATTGTAGAGATGAGGTCTTACCAAGTTGCCCAGGCTGGTCTCAAACTCAGGCAATCCTCTCACCTCAGCCTCCCAAAGTGCTGGGACTATAGGCGCACGCACCCAGCCAGAAAAAGAGCTTTCATAGTGATCTAGGGAAAAGTCAAGGGGTAAAGATAAGAAAACACGGGTGTGGTGTGGTCAATCCACCAATCCTCTAGTCTTGGATATCTCCTGAGTGAACCAATGACTTTTTGGCTTGGAGTTTAGAGTTTACTTACTCGAGATCCTAAGGACACATGGGCATTGCTTTAATATCGTTTTTACTTAAAAAGTAAGATCTCTGAGATCCCTATTTTAATCATAATGGGTTTCTTGAGTGATAGTATTCACCAAGACTCTCTACCATTGCTTTAGTTTAGATGAATTTTGGTAATAAAATGACTCGTTTTTCTTTGTTAAATATTCTAGTTTTTCAGCTGGTGGAATAGCTACAATAAGGCAATCAGCTACCTAGCCACAGTACCCAAGTACCGTATCCAAGCTACAGAGATTGCCAAGCAGCAAGGACTACTCAAAAAAGCCAAAGAAAAAGGCAAAAACAAAAAGTCCAAAGAGGAAATTCGTGACGAGGAGGAGAACATCATAAAGAACATTATAAAAAGTAAAATAGATATAAAGGGAGGATATCAGAAACCCCAAATATGTGATCTTCTCCTGTTTCAAATTATCTTAGCTCCTTTTCACCTATGCTCATATATAGTCTGGTATTGCCGATGGATTTATAATTTTAACATCAAAGGCAAAGAATATGGGGAAGAAGAGAGACTATATATCATCCGTAAATCTATGAAGATGTCAAAGTCTCAGTTTGATAGCCTAGAAGATCATCAGAAAGAAACTTTTCTTAAACGGGAGCTCTGGATAAAGGAGAAGTATGAGGTGAGTAGTCTTTCTGCTGTGATTTTAGTGGCATCCTCCTGACCAAGTTAAAGTTTGGTATATATAGGTATCACAGAAGTGTGCTCAAATTTCTGAAATCCAAGAGCTACATAATGAATAAAGATCTTACTTTTATGGAAAGGCTAACTATATTTGGCAGTGGAACAGTGGGTTTTTAACCTGTAATTTTTCTTTTTAAAAAATGAACTTCACCCGGGCTCAGTGGCTCAGCCTGTAATCCCATGCCTTGGGAGGCTGAGGTGAGTAAATTGCCTGAGCCTGCGGGTTCGAGACCCACCTGGGCAACTTGGCAAGAGCTCATCTCTACAATAAATCAAAAAATTAGCCAGGCGTGGTAGCGTGCACCTGTAGTTCCAGCTACTTGGAAGGCTGAGGCGGAAGGATCACCGGAGCCCAGCAGGTCGAGGCTGCGGTGACTGGGAGCGGCCACTGCACTCCAGTCTGGGTGACAGAGTGAGACTCCAACTAAAAAAAAAAAAACTTCAAATATTTTGATAGACTAATTCTGAAAAAAGTTTTAAGAATAGTTCAATTTGTGTATTTAACTGCAGCAGAATGATGCGTATCTTTTTTGTGTGTGTGTGTTGGAATTTCACTGTCGCCCAGACTGGAGTGCAGTGGCACGCTCCCGGCCACCACAGCCCCGACCTGCTGGGCTCCAGCGATCCTTCCACCTCAGTCTTCCAAGTAGCCGGAACTGTAGGCGTGCACTACCATACCCTGCTAATTTTTGATTTACTGTAGAGACGAGATCTCACCAAATTGCCCAGGCTGGTCTCGAACCTGTGGGCAATCCACTCACCTTGGCCTCCCAAAGTGCTGGAATTACAGGCTGAGCCTCGGAGCCTGGCCATGATATGTATCTTTGCAAGGTGCTACAACAACTTTCTGTTAATTACACTAGCTAAAATTTGATGCTCCTAAAATATGCCCGGCTATATTTTAATAAATCTTTTGTTCTACAAATTGTCAACTACAAAAAATTACTTTTGAGGTGATCGGCTACCTAGCCATGGTGTTAAAGGAACTAGTAGTCTCATCATAACCATATTATGTTAGATTCTGGGTAAAATTAATTAGTTAATATATTAAATATAACAACAGAGGCTGTGCACAGTGGCTAATACCTGTAATCCCAACACTCTTTTCTTACTCTGTCGCCCAGACTGGAGTGCAGTGGCCGCTCCCAGCCACCGCAGCCTGGACCTGCTGGGCTCCGGCGATCCTTCCGCCTCAGCCTTCCGAGTAGCCAGAATTACAGGCGCACGCTACCACGCCTGGCTAATTTTTTGATTTATTGTAGAGATGAGGTCTCGCCTGCCCAGGTGGGTCTCGAACCCACGGATTCAGGCAATCCGCTCACCTCAGCCTCCCAAAGGCGCGGGATTACAGGCTGAGCCACCGAGCCCGGCATCCCAACACTCTTGAGAGGCTGAGGCAGGATTGCTTGAACCCATGAGTTTAAGACCAGTCTGGGCAACATAGTGAAACCTTGCCTCTACAAAAAAATTTAAAAACTAACTGAGTGTGATGGCGCATGCCTATAGTGCCAGCTTTTCAGGAGGTTGAGGTGGAAGAAGCACCTGAGCCCAGAGGGTCAAGGATGTGATGAGCCGTTATTCTGCCACTGCAATCCAGTTTGAGCGACAGAGTGAGACCTTGACTCAAAAAACAAACAAATAAGCAAAACAGAGCACAGTGAAACCTTCTTAAGAAGTCTGAGATGCATTCGGTTTTTGTTTTTTTGTTTTTTAGTTTCATAGTTCTTTTTTTTTTTTTTTTTGGAGTTGGAGTCTTGCCCAGGCTGGAGTGTGGTGACACACTTTTGGCTCACCGCCACCCCAACCTTGTGGTCTCAGGTGATCCTTCTGCCTCAGACTCCTGAGTAGCTAGAACTACAGGCATGCACCACCACACCCAGCTAATTTTTAATTTTTTTTTGGTAGAGATAAGGTTTCACTATGTTGCCCAAGCTGATTTTGAAATCCTGGCCTCAAGTGATCCCCTCGCCTCAGCCCCCAAAGTGCTGGGATTACAAGTGTCAGTTACTGTACTCGGTCTGTCATTCCTTTTTATATGTGATGTCCTAAAGAGATATGACTGAAATTAAAGGTTTGATCTGAATTATATTTATGTAAATTAAGTTACAACAAATTGCCAAATGTTTTGCGAAGTAGATGCCTATATATTTAACTTGTTTATAAGTAACATAAAAATGGAAGGCAACATACTTGTTAAACGCCTATACTATTTGAAAAGTTTTCTCTTTTAAGTAGGGCAAGCAGCCCAGGCTGCAAAACTGTGTATTTCTTAGCATGCTATTCTGGAGTGAATTTTAATATGTTATTGTATGGGATTATTTTAGTCATTACTTCTTAATGTTTAGAAAGTAAAATCTTCCCAAATTAAAAAATAAATTTTGGCCAGGCTCGGTGGCTAAGCCTGTATTCCCAGCACTTTAGGAGTCTGAGGCGAGTGGATTGCCTGAGCCCGCGGGTTCGAGACCTGCCCAGGAAACTTGGCAAGACCTCATCTCTACAATAAGTAAAAAATTAGCTGGGCGCGGTAGTGCACACGTATAGTTCCAGCTACTTGGAAAGCTGAGGCTGGAGGATCACCTGAGCCTAGCATGTCAAGGTTGCGGTGGCTGGGAGAGTGCCACTGCACTCCAATCTAGGCGACAGAGTGAGACTCCAACTCAAAAAAATAAAATAAAAATAAAAAATAAATATTGTTTTTCTATTTTTTGTAAAGTTAGTGGTCTCCATGTTTCCCAGACTGGTTTCAAATTCCTGGCCTCAAGTGATCCTCTTGCCTTGACCTCCCAAAGTGCTGAAATTACAGGTGTGAGCTACCACCCCTGACCTCTTTCTAGAAGTTGATGTGGTTAAGAAACTGACTTTGACAACTTGTCCATTTGCTTCAATTGACATTCACTAAAAGTTATAGAAATGGCAGATGGTCTTTGTTCTTTGTGTTCTCACAGGTTTTAACTCTGGTTTATTTAAACTTCTTTGGAAATTTTAATTTAAAAAAAATTTGAAAAACCAGTTATCTTTAAAGATAAAGGTAGATGTAAGTTCAGTTTATAGACAAACATATACATATATGTAAAGTCATTTTGTTCCTTGGGTAATATCAACAAATATGCAAGTTATTAGTTAAATTTACAAAGTACCATGATAAAATGAAGTGTGCCTTCTTTAAGATTAGACATTAGCTATAAAGAACTTATGTATTATTTCAGTGAAGGGAAGAATGTATTCCTAGGTTATAGAAATCAATGACAAAAAATTACTTCCTGCACGGTTTTTTCTTTCTTATTTAAGACTGAATGTTAAAATGCTTAACTGCTTAGTATTTTTAGATGAGTGGTCTTCAGAAGACAAACTGACATGCTCATTGGGAACTTTTTACCTAAAGCTACATTTGATAAATATAAATATGTCCAAAAGCCAATGGCATGTTTCTTTTTGAGTTGTAGAGTCATTCAGTGTTATTTATACTTATAGGTCTACAAACAAGAACAAGAGGAAGAATTAAAGAAAAAGTTAGCAAGCGACCCTCGATGGAAGAGATACAGGAGATGGATGAAGAATGAAGGGCCTGGACGGTTAACATTTGTGGACGACTGAAGATGGGTGGAATGCTATGTGCCAACCCTTGTTGTGATACTATTTTCATAACTGAATTATCTTAGAAATGTGTCAACTGCTGTTTAGCAGTAACAAAAATTGCTCAAGTACTTGATTACACAGAATAATGTAGAAATTTAAACTTTCCCTTAAAACTTTATACATAAGATGTTTATGATTGTTCAATTTTTATAATCTATTTGTGGATTTTGTTAAAAGATTTCACATGAAGATATATTCATTGCCATTTAAAAATTTTATATGTTTAGTTAAAAGATTTGACATGAAAATTTACTAGATACCATTTAAAATTTGTATGTGTTAAGTATTTATTCTTAAAGATGCCTCCTTGCTTGTTATAGTACTACATTTTTCTGCTTTCATGGCCTCTATATTTTCACAAAACCTAAAACAATTATTATAGCATTAGATTACATTATTGTGTCTTTCTAGACACAAACTTCTTCCTCAGAATGATTTAACTATCATGTGGTCTCCCATTACAGTCTGGATTGGAGTATGTTCAGAATCACCTATCTAGGAGTCTTCTTGTAGAATGTCTTTATAATATCCCCCCACCCCATTATTATAATATTCCTAGTAAGCTCAGAAACTCTCCAGGAGAGTGAGTCTACCCTTATGTCCTTGTAGGATGATCTTGATTACAGTCTCATTATAGGACTATACCTGTATTCTCAAACATTTCTCCAGAAAGAACCTTGCAAGAAGGTCTGGTTTTTTTTTTAAACCACAGTATTGCTTCCCCCCCACCTTCAATTAAAAAAAATGGCAGGGCAGAAATGGTGCAGTGAGAAGTTGTTCATATATTATGAAGTCCTTGCATTTACATGAGAGCATTTACATGCATTTAAACCAGAAAGAAGTGGATAGCTGGCTGTGTGCTGTTTGATCAACAGGTGAAATAGAAATGTGTTTATATGTGTGGAAGTGAAAGTAAATGACACATAATTTAATTGAATCAAGCATGATACTGCACCAAAGTATCAGTACACATTCATGGTAGTGAATCAAACTCCTGATAAAAGATTTATCCCACTGCTTCATAGTAATAAAGTGGTTACAATATATTGTAAGTTTATTAGTATGACATTTAAAATTAAAAATTAACATATTGCTTTTGTATTATGTAATCTTAAAAGATTGATGTAGCATAATTGATACACAGCATCTGTCTCTAACTAAAGTAAGCTAGTTCTTTTAAGAGCTCAGCCCAAATATGAGACATTTACAAAGAGACAGGAGGGCAGAGTTCTGTGCTTCCTGGTATAACCAAAGACCTGAGAGTGAGGGCTTTGGTTGCCTCAATTATAAAGTTGGGGATATTTGACCAGATTATCACCAGGGCTGTTTTGCAGTTGTAAAATTCTGATATAATCATTTATATTTTTGTAAACTTCAGATTAAAGTGTTTATCCATTCTTTTTTAGGAGTGTGGAGAGGATACAGAGCTAAATTATAGGTGGCTGTGTTTTAAGCCTCAAATGTCTAACTCTTAACCATAGTTAAATGCCCTCAAAGATGCTGTGGTAGAGTCAGCAGTCTCTATCTTAGTGAATGCATTTTCATACAGTTAACACACAATGGTATTTATCACCTAAGAACATAAATATGTAGCATATATTATGAAAACCAAGAAGAAATGTAGGTTCTTGTCCCTCTTTTCAAAAAAAATTTCTGAGTGCCTGTATTTTTTACCTGGTGGTAAGGAAAGTAAAAGGACAGGATATGTTAGGCATTCATAAAGTTTGGCTGTTCAAAACAGAACCTCTTTGGATAGTCTTTTGCATATCTTTGCTAGATTACTGTATTTTTTTCCCCTGTTTTTCTAGAAACCTTGTTTCTGCAGTCGTCCTTAGCAGCCTGCCCACATGGTAATATTTGGTCAGTCTTTTGGGATCGTGGTCACAACATGAGTCAAGAGGAAAGGTCTCTCTTCCCTTCCCTCAACAGACTGGGCTTCAAAATCCTGGGGCAAAGGAAAAGCCATTCGGTGTCACAAGTGTCCTTCAAGTACTCTGAGTATTTTAGCTCTTCTGTTCACTGTCCATCCTCCACCAAAAAAACATTTTAGAAACATCTGGAGAAGACTCCTGGGTAGGAGGCCCCACAGCTCTTCTTAGTCTTGTGTTTCATTTTAAGGCTATTACCATTTCCTTTTTGGTTGGTATTCAGGAGTTTATAGAGCATAGCTGTTCATTGCTATATCTTCATTACATCATATGACTGAGGTCTGCTAAAATTACCCTTAGGTGATGTTCATAGCAAATATTCTCATAACAGATTCCATGACATACTCTTTCCTCATTGGTTTTACTTCTTTATGAGTTCTCCTAAATCCTATAAATCATAGGTTACAGTTTCATAACATTTATTAGATATGACCCAGGCCTAGAATTTTAAACATTAACATAGGTATATACGGTTTTTAAAAATGTTACATGAAAGAATAGGTAAGTTTAATTAACTATTTTAGTAGTATTGAGCTTATGTTTAGAAAATCATAATTCATTTCCTTTGAGTTTTTTGTTTGTTTTGTTTTTTTGAAAGAGCAGTAAACTTTTAATGAACTTTGGGAGGCTGAGGTGAGTGAATTGCCTGAGCCCACAGGTTAGAGACCTGCCTGGGCAACTTGGCGAGACCTCATCTCTACAATAAATAAAAAATTAGCCGGGCGTGGTAGCATGCTCCTGTAGTTTCAGCTACTTGGAAGGCTGAGACGGAAGGATCGCCAGAGCCCAGCAGGTCGAGGCTGCGATGGCTTGGAGCGGCCACTGCACACCAGTCTGGGTGACAGAGTGAGACTCCAACTCAAAAAAAAAAAACTTTTAATGCCCAAATCTTGGAGCTATTTTGCTTGAGTGGAAGCCAGTTGCTAAGGTATCACTCAGCTAGTGTTATGAATCAGGCTGTGGGCCACAAATTGAAAAGTTCTGTGGAAATTATAAATGACTTTTATTAGACATTAATATAAATAGGATCTGGCTACTTTAAGACATTAGATCAAACATGGTCTCTTGAGTTAGAATTATACATTTGAGAGAGAGAGATAAAAGTTGGTATTGGGCTGGGCACAGTGACTCACGCCTATAAATCCCAGCACTTTGGGAGTCAGAGGAGAGAGGATTGCCTGAGTTCAGGGGATCGAAGCCAGCCTGGGAAACATGGCGAGACCTCATCTCTACAATAAATAAAAAAACTTAGCTGGGCGTGGCAGCACGTGACTGTAGTTCCAGCTATTTGGAAGGCTGAAGCGGAAGGATTGCCTGAGCCCAGCAGGTCAAGACTGCGGTGGCTGTGAGTGTGCCACCGCACTCCAGCCTGGGTGACAGAGTGAGACTCTGACTCAAAAAAAAAAAAGTATTGATACAAACCAGCTGTGTATTGATGAATTGTAATTAAACTTGTTTGTACAGTGTGATGCGCTTCACATTTCAATACGAGCTAAAGCCAAACCTAATAATTAAATTTGTTCAGTAAGTGATTAACAGTTGGACACAGTGGCTCATGCCCGTAATCTCAGCACTTTGGGAGGCTGAGACAGGAAGATTGAATGAGCCCAGGAATTTGAGACCAGCGTGGGCAACAGATCTCAACTCTATGTTAAAAAAATATGCCAAGTGCAGTGGTGGTGTGCACCTGTAGTCCCAGAAACTTGGGAGGCTGAGCTAGGAGGTTCACTCGAGTCTAGGAGGTTGAGGGTGTCTCAGAAATGTTTTACATAACCTTTCTGGTTTCCACATCTGTGAAATGAAATAATCTTTTTGGGAAATTAGGACTTAAAATTCTGTAAATTTCCCTAATTCATATAGTTTAGGGTCTGAAGTTGACTGGATTATGGACAATTGAGAAATGTTATGGGTATTTAAGTTAAAAGTCTAAATTAAAAGTCTGCTTTATTTTTTTTAGCTGTAAACTTTAATCACCTCTTAATTATTTTTATTTATTTTACTTTTTTTTTTTTTTTGAGTCCAGGTCTCACTCTCGCTCAGACTGGTGTACAGTGGCACAATCGTGGCTCACTGGGCTCAGGTAATCCTTCTGCCTCAGCCTCCCGAGTAGCAGGGCTACAGTCATGTATCACCATGCTTGGCTAATTTTTTTGCTTTTGGTAGAGACAAGGTCTTGCTATGTTGCCTAGGCTGGTCTCAAAATCCTGGGCTTCAGCGATACTCCCGCCTCAGCCTCCCAAAGTGCTAGGATTACAGTGTGAGCCACTACACTTGACCAATTCTTTTCATTTTTAATTTAATGCTATTTTTTTTTGAGTCAAAGTCTCACTCTGCCACCCAGGCTAGAGTGCAGTGGCATGCTTATGGCCACCACAGCCTCGAGCTGCCAGGCTCAGGTGATCCTTCCACCTCAGCCTTCCAAGTAGCTGGAATCACAGGCATGTGCCACCACACCCAGCTGGTTTATTTTTGTAGAGATGAGGTCTTGCCAGGATGCTCAGGCTGGTCTCGAGTCCCTGAGCTCAGGCAGTCCTCGCCTCCGCCTCCCAAAGTGCTAAGATTATAGGCATGAGCCACCATGCCCGGCCTATTTTTTATTTTGTGATATAATCTGATTTACTTTATTTATTTTTAAATTTATTTTATTTTTGCTCAGAGTCTCACCCTGTTGTGGCTGGAGTGCAACGGCACAGTCCCAGTTCACCACACCCTAGGCCTCCTGCCTCAGCCGCCAGAGTAGCTGGGACTACAGGAGCATGCCACCACACCTGACTAATTTTTTTTAAATTTTTTGCAGAGATAAGATCTTGCTATGTTGCCTAGGCTGGTCTGAACTCCTGGGCTTAAGCAATCCTCCTGTCTTGGCCTCCCAAAGTGCTGGGATTACAAGCGTGAGCCACTGCACGAGGCAGAATTGTGTGTTTTAAAAGCAGCTGCCTGTCCTTGTTGCCATTGGGTTGCAAGATGAAACAGCCAAGATGACAACTCAGGAAAGAGAAAAACTTTCAGGAATGAAAGAATGACCGACTCGCTAGTTTAAGTCCTTCATTTACTGAAGGACCCTTCCAGCGAGAAAAAAAGTTGCAAACAGACATGCTTAGAATGGTTGCTCAAAAAGACAGCTAAAAACCCTAAGTTCCACCGCCTCCCAAAGTCTCAAAAATACCTGTGAAAATCTCTCCAGGGAAGCCATTCTGAATCTATAAGCCTGCTGATGACTCTTTTAGCACCTGATTTATTTTTCTAAGTTCCAAAAATCATGTAATAGATAAAAGAAGGCAAAATAATTTTTTATGGTACATTATACTGTATCACATTAAATATAGCATAATTGCTAATATGTTTTCCTCTTAATCATTTTAGAAAACTTTATAGAAGGCATATATTATACGCCCTTGCCCACCTTGGAGAGGTGAATCATTCTCTATTGTTTAAATAAACTATTTTCCAATTTAAAAAGCCATATATTATTGACACCTTCCCATGATACCCTTTTTTTTTTTTTTTTTTTGAGTTGGAATCTCACTCTGTTGCCCAGGTAGCAGTGCAGTGGCACATTCATAGTCACCGCAGCCTCAACCTATTGGGCTCAGGTGATCCTTCCGCCTCAGCCTTCCAAGTACTTGGAACTACAGGTGCACGCCACTATGTTCAGCTAATTTTTTATTTACTGTAGAGATGAGGTCTCACCAAGTTGCCCAGGCTGGTCTTGAATTCGCCTCTGCCTCCCAAATTGCTGAGATTACAGGCTTGAGCCACCGTGCCCAGCCAATACCATTATTTTTATGGAAAAGTGAATCACAGCTCTTCCTGGAAAAATGACCTGCTGTTAGTAGAAAGGTAAAAACCATACGAGTCAGAAGAATGAAGAATTGTAGATTATAACAGGGAAACAAATGAAATGTTTGTCTTTACAAGGACATTTCTCAGAAGTACTGAGGTTTTTGGAAATGATATTTACAAGTTTTTAGCTTAACCAAGGAAAAAAATGTGTTACGAAATTTTAAAAATAGTGTACTGGTGACCTGTGCATTTTAGCTGAGATGAGAGGAAAGCAGGGTAGTTTTTGTCTCCATGCCTCACCTCCCTTCAGAGCTCTGGTGATAACTGTGCGTATGGGAAGGACCTCGTCATCCTCCAGGCGAGTGGTAACTTCTCTTGAGAG